GAAATGATAAAATATTAATATTACAGAAATGACTTCTTTAAAGTAGCTTATGAAAATACCTAGTCTGCTGACATCCTAGCCTCCTAAAATGGCCTACTAGTTAACTGAGAGATTAATAAATTTCACACTTAAGCTGAGCAAATGCGGGCAGGGGTGGCCTTGTGGAATAGGAAGGCTACAGAATCCAGTATTATCTGTTGAGAAAGCCCTGAACTAGAGTAACTTGTGCTGAGGGAAGCCTGGAGAGTCACAAACCTCATGATAGTACCTACAGAGGAGAAATGGTTAGTCATGTGAGTAGATTCTAGTTTCTGTATCATTCATTGTGATTAGTATTATTTTTGTGTGTGGAAACTCCCACTGAAGAGGAAGTCTAACTTGGAGAACCACAGTTCTCATTAAATAAGGTTCAGAGGATAAAAATTAGAGGAGTCCTTTTCTCATTCATGTTGTGTATACTGCTTTTATAATCTTACTGTGTGTCTAGGACCACTGTAATTATTGCTTTCAAAATAGTTAAAAGGAAAAAATCATTTAATGCTTTTGGAATCTGCTAATATTTTCGTCATCTGAAAGTGAAGAAGGCAGCCAGCACACAGAACTGAGTGGCATGTACAAATGCTGTGTGAACTGCCAGTGATCCATAGATAAATTTGAGAATTTCTGCAGTAGTGGATTATATATAGCTTTATGTACTATTTTGAGCATGGTGCATAATCAAATGGCAATTTAGAGGAAAGATGCACTAGCATTTCTTACTTTTAAGCCAAGATCTTTGTGCTGTAGCAGCATGAAGACTGTAAAGATGGAGAAGAATTAAACAGTATCAGAAATACCATGGTTTATCACAAAATGTCCCTTTTGCAAAACTCATGTCATTCCTACTAATTTGCAGCTGTTTTGAAAATGCCCTATGCTGACTTCCCATGCAACAAAAGCTGTCTTTTACTGTGCTTTTGCTGTTCTTCCATATATGGGCTCTAATTTCTTTGATATCACCTTGACTCTTCAAAACACAGTTCTCCAGTATATCTAGTATAAGGCTGTTTTCAGATGTGTTACTAAGGGTAGTCACAGGAGCCAAATCATAATTTCCTTTTAAGTTATGCGGTCTTCCTCCATACAGTTACATCACTGTGTGTGTGTTTGCTTTAAAATGTTTTGCAGCTTGAAACTTGAAAGCTGTATGTGCATTTGTAGGACTTCAAATGTGGTAGAACAGTTTCACTGTACAAATAGCAAGATTTGTTGAATAGAACAATTGTGGTACGTGGTTTGCAACCCTTTCAAAGGATAGTATATATTTACCTAGAGTATTTGTTATGAATGAAGAATCAACAGTCTCTCTGAAAATGGGTTCCTATTCAGTAATTCATGAATAAAAACAGGGTTAAATTAGCATAATGTATTATTTATAAGGAATTGTTTGTCCAAATCTTTCTGTGCCTATGGGAACAGTAGGGCACTTCAAAACATGTGAAACAATATGGTTACTTCTTTATTTTAGGGAAAAAATCTACTGTTAATTTCCACGGTAATTTAAAATTATAACTTATTTCATGGGAAAATCTATTCAGTTTGTGGCACAGAAATCTGTCTAACTTTAGGCAAGCAGCCAGCTCCTGACTTTTAAACATATTGTCAGGGCAACTTTCTTTATTATTCTCATGAGAACATTCCTACTGAAATTATATGTACTACCCTAAATGCAATAATAATAAAAATGTTGAGCAGTGTTTAATTTAGAGATAAAGAATCAATTAATATTTGTGCTGCTAAGCATGCATTTACATATTTTGTATTTTTTTTACTCTCCCTGTATTTACCCATTTTTAATAGACTTAACTAATGCTTAAGTGGCCACTGATCAACTAAACCTTTTATAATAAATGGAAGTAAACTGATTTGAGAAATATTCATTAACAGTTTCTTCTATATATCATTAATCCTTGAAAGAATATAAAAATATGATCATAGGACTAGTTCAGCTAAAATCAGTGTGGAAACTACCGCTGTCCATGGAGGGCAGACTGGAATGAAAAGTGAATCAGTGTCATTCAAAGATGATTACCATCATTCTCTACAATAGGCATGGTTCTATGCCTTTTTAGGTTTTTTGACACTAATGTATATCCATTAGATGAAATGGAGTTACCTTTGATTTGTATTGGTATAAAAGAGAAGGGAAGCTAGGGAAGCTAACTATATTAACTGTAACTTTCTGCTGTTCTGTTCTAATGGTATTGAGTAAACATTTGCAGGGTGGACTAAGCCTAATGCTAAGGACATGACTGATTCTGAACAAATACAACTATTAAATTTTAGATACAAAACAGTGATTATGTGATCAAATTCAGACAGTGAACCCTTGACATGCGCATCATAAAATCTCCTAGCACCAATGGGAGCTCAAGCTTGGCCACCTTTATTTGGTCTCCGTAATGAAGTTGAAAGGAAGCATTTGACAGATCACCTGGGTCTCAAGAAAACATACGGTGTAATTTAAGCACTGGAAATGTTTGTGTTTCACTTATAAGGCCTTGAGCAAATACAAATATACCTCGACCAACCAATGGCATGTAAATGAAGTTTTTTCCAAAAAGTTGTTCCTATTCTTACTGATAATTGATGGCTCATGGAGAGATTATGCATAGTCTTTTTTCTTTTAATAAGGAAAAAAAGTATCTGATGAAAATAATTGGGGTGTGATCATGAAATATATCTTTATAGGAAAAATTCTGTATTGTTGCCTGTATTTTTCATGAGAAAGGATACATTTCAGCACTTTTTTAACTAATAATTTAATTTTGACTTCTTAAGTTTCTATTTTCCAGGTCAAATTCTAAAACAAGTTATTAGTGTAACTTCTTAAATTGTATGCAGTCAGTATCAAAATAGTATTCTGAGCAATAGCTGTGTACTTTGTATATGTTCTAAGTAGGCAGCTCCCATATTTTCCTGTTGTAAACAGAATGGGGGGGACAGCTTTCAAGAAGTATTTTGCACTTCTTTTTCCTATTGGTGAATTTTTCAGGGACTTCTGTATCCCAGGGGATATATTTGCCACAGGACCGTCTTGACCATGAATCACTTCCTGCGGGTCTTGTGTCTTTCTGTTATCTTTATAGGGATTCTACCACAGCTAAGCTCTCAATGTATGTACTCTGAGACATTTAAATTAGTTGTGATGAGTCTGGGACAAATAAAGGTCGTAATACTTGGAAATTTATTGATTTAAAATGGGGTTGGCACAGCATTTAAGCGCGCATTTTTTTCCTTACTCATAAAGCAGTTCATCATATTTTAAACTTTAAGTGTGCATCAAAGTACTTCATTGTATCAGATCTTTTGAAGTTCACTGACCTGTAGTAAATGAGAATTTCATAGTTGACTGTACAATTAAACTTTGACTTCAGGGAGTATTTAGGTTTAAAATTCTTATTAGAAAATAATTCTCAAGTGAGCCTTTTTTCCTGCTGGGAAATGGAAAGAAGTGAAGAAGGTTAAAAAGAAATCTTACTTTGGAATTCAAATCACCTTTTATGCACAATTTTCTCATATTAGCTTCAGTTAGCAGTATATTTTTTCATAGATGAACTTTGTGTTAACCTTTGAACTTTCAGTAAACTTTCTTTCTCTTTTTCTGGGTTCTGTTCATATCAAAAGTACCTTTTTTCATTTGTCTCAGTCTCTTCTGAATTATCATAACAAGATAAAGGGAGATAGCAACATAGTGTAGAGTTATAGTCTACGAAATCCTATTAGTACTGAAAGCCCGCTCTGTCTATTGATGCTTGATGCATTAAATTTGGCAACTACTGAATGCCTTTTTCATACCAATGAAGTGACTTTCATTAAAAATAATTGAGATAGAATCACAGAAAGTAGATACTGAAAGGCATATTAAATTACCAAGAATACGCCTCTGCTTATTGCAGTATGCTTATTAATGTTGGAAAAATGGTCAAGATTCCCAGTTGCCATATATCAGCATAACCCCACTGGAGTCTGCAGGGCTTTTTTGATTCATGCTATCTAAAGATTTCTATCCATATATGATTACATAAAATAACTCCACATGACATGAAGTAACTTGTGAATTGGAAATTTCATCAGAATTCACTTCATGGTGTTTATTTGTGTCAATGAGCAAGTGTCATGTTTTTGAAGTGGAGCTCAGCTAAGAACATAATGAAATGCTAGTATATATATCTGACTTGTTCTATGTTGGATATGTTTACAATATTTTACAGAGGAGGAGAAAGGCATCTCTTAAAATTTGACTTCAGGGGCTTCCTTACGTTATGACTATTTCTGACAGAAAGCAAGGATTTAGCCTCTCTTCTTTGTACCTCAGATTCTACTTATGTTTCCTGGAGCAACTGAATACAGAAGCTGATTCCACAAGTCCAACATTTATCAAAGGCTTTGGCAATGGGAGATTTAACATTATTTAGTTTTAGAAAAGCAAATACTCTTCTCCCTGGGCTTGATCCTTGCATTTTACTTGCAAATTTCTTGCTTAGTTAGTTGTAGTCTGAGATGTGACGCAACACGGATATCTAATGTGTTTAATTACTTCTGAAGAGATACAATTCATACGTAAATATCACATGCCTCTACTATGTTCAGTGGCGGTGATAACTTTGGAAAGACTAGGCCTTATTTGGGTGACCTAATTTGATCTGGCTTGGGAAGTTTGTTTCTAGCCAATTTGGAAGTTGCATATATCACTCTGTGAGCTGCAACCACATCCATCTGTTTCATCATGTAAAGAACAGACAAACACTCTGGTGATGACTAAATGTATATCGCAATATAGCAGTGCACTCTTCTGAGTGAATGGTCTCAACAGGAGGTTTACACAGACATACTGAAGAAACAGCATCTTAAAACAACACTACATTCAGACAATTAGGATACAAATGATGTATGCAATATGGTTGTATAACTGCACGTCACACGCACATGATGCAGAGATGGCTATGGAAAATACTCACTTTTTCCCTTGATTCTGCTTGCTTTTGGCTTCTGCACACCTTTGGTGCAAAGCAGGGAAGTAGATACTTGTGTTTAGTGGGAGAAATTACGGTAACAGACACAAGCATTTTACTAATAAATTTTTTTATCATAGACTATTGCTGGGTAAACTGACAGACAACCAGTACAAATGGTGCATCAAACATTTAACGAACCCAGGCTGAACTCCTGGCCCTGTTGAAGCCAATGGAAGTTTTGCAGTATGTTTTCTTTGCGGGGAAGGGAGAGGGGGTATCATGCTGATTTCTAATTGTTGTTCATCAGCCACTTAGTGTACAATTAGAAATGATGCATTAAAGAGCATCCTTTTCCTTTGTGCCGTGACTTTATAGACGTTAGAGTTCACCACAAGTGAAACATGGTGTTCAGCAGGGGTTGAGGAGGAAATGGCCAGACCTGGTTTGCAAAGTATAGAAAAATTATTTGCTCTTCTGTTGTGTGAGTGCGGTGTATCTTGTACACTCAGACAAGCGTGTGCTGGCGTTTTGTGCATCATGAATACTTGCAGAAAGTAAAGCAGTAGTTATCCTAAAGTGTCAAAGGAATAAAAGAGGAACGTAGATCTTGTTGAAGTCTCTCATGTAAGAATAACCATGTGGTGAAATTACCTCTGTTAAACCTACAGCCACACAGAAATAACATGTGCTGAATATTAACCAGTAAACTAAGTGAATGGCTACTCTAATGCATATTACTATGCAGATAATAACTTTTCTTGAATTGTCCCGATCAGAAGCATTGAATGGTAGTGTCACTTTAGCCTCTTACAGCACTGACGTGAGAAATGGATTTGTATATGTTAGCAGCAGGGGGAATAAAATGGACCGTTGCGGTGAGATGGAGCCGCTGTACTTCACTGCGGTGCCTCAGTCAGCATCTTCAACAGACCAATGAAACCATCCAACACTTGATGGTTACTCTAACGCTGTAAAGTTTGGAACGATGAAGTTGCATCCTTTCATTGACTAAATTTGTTTTTAAAAAAAAAAAGAAATGAAGACAATGAGGCGTGCAAAGCAAAATAGTCCTAATTGCAACAGGAGTGACATCCTGGCGAAAACTTAAAGGCATGTGAAATATTTAAAATGACACTACTGGAAAGTGGTTTCTTATTTTATATATGCATTGTAAATGAAGACTTATGTTACTTGAATGCTGACAGCGTGAATAATAATTGACATTTTAAATTAGTTTTTAGATAACCTTCTGGTAACTGACATATGTATACTGTGCTTTCTACAAATCCCCTCACATAGGGAAAAATGTGTTTTTGCTAAATTTTCAGGTGAAAACATCTTTTTTTTTTAAAAAAAAGCTATTTTTTCCAAGTTACTCAATGATGAAATGTAATTACTTGGTATCTTCTAGCAGAAAAATTCAGGCAGAATTGCCAAAACTGAAATACTCCAATTGGAAAGCTAAAGAGTAGATGAGTTGTTTTTTTTTTTTTTAATTATTCCCTCCCCCCCCTCAATTTTTGTAGGTGGCATTTTGGGTAGGGGGGAGGCTTTTGGGGTCGTTTTTTCTGTTGCTGGAGCTGTAGCCGCCCGTTGGGTGAGACGGGAGCCGTTACAGCCCCGGCGCCGCCGCACCGGCCGTTCCCTGTCAGCTTAACATATGTCAGCTGCCGCCTCAGAGCGCAGCGGTCCGCCCACCTGTGATGTCATAGTAAGGAGGGGCTTTTCTTCCGCCGACTCCTCCCTCGGAAGCTCCTTCATCACCATGGCAACAGCCTTATCGGCCGCCCTAGAGCCTTTGCCCTACAACAGCGAAATCAACAATGGCGCGGGTCAGGTTACGCAAGCACGGCCCGAGCGGTCCCGGCGGTACATGGTGGCGTTAAGAGCTGGAAGCGAAGCTTGGGTTGAAAGGAGATCACGCAAACACTGTTTAAAAATGAATGAATAAATAAATGATAAAAATCCGTGACGCCGTGAATTACCGACCCGGCTGGGGTCGGACGGCGGTCTTCACGCGTCGAGGTTGGCGGGGACGGGGCAAGGCCTGGCTCTGGGCAGGCCCTCGCGAAGCGCCTCAGTGCCAGCTGCAGGGTTTGAACGTTACCCAGGAGGGGCTCTCCACCTGAGTAAGACCTGCGGGATGCTTCCCTCCATTCGTTCACCGGTATTTGACATTTAGCTACCCAAAAGTTTACGTCTGAAATGCACGTTTCTCCATCAAAAGGAAACGCAAACCATTCTGGCAAATAAAGCGCGGATCCTTGCAGTTTATTCACTGCGGCAAGCTCTCCCTCAAGTTAAATTTGAGAATTAACCTGTCGCAGTGGGCCCAAAGTGTTCATAGCTCTAGTAACACTTTAAAAAGCAGTTTATATCATTGTATCAGTTTCTTTGACTTACAGACTATAGGGAGCCAAATACTGCCATCACAGAGATTGCTACGGTTCTCCTGAAGAAGGTAATTGTTATTGAACTTACTGTAAGGATTTTTTTTCGAACTTCACTTTCTTAAAATTCAGTTAATGCATTGTAATTATTCAAGAGAAGGTTAAATCTTTTAACAATTTTTAATTGTATGTTAGCCAAACACAAAATGCGGTAGCATTATGTGCCATGTTCTCTTTAAAGCCATTCTCTCTTTATTTTAGAAAGTGTATTTGTCTTAAGTTCGCACAGGTTTCTTTTGCTCTCTGGTACTCCTGCAACTGGCAGAGAAAACCTGGGCATATGCATAAAGCCCAACAGCAGAGCGGTGTTGCGCTCGGATCCTGGGCACGTTCGTACTGCTATACTTGCAAAGCTCTCAAAGTTTTAGGTGTGCAAAGACCGCAGGATCTGGCTCCATGAAAGCACCATTTCACAATAGACTTAAAAATATTTAAATACTTAAAAGCCTATAAGGAAAAACTAACTTTTTTTACTGCTGCATCATACAATAAGATTTACTGGGACTAGCACTGTATTCTATGTCCAACAGAAAACACTATTGCTTATAATGAGGTAAGTTTCAGAAACACTTTGTCAGCAACTGCAGGTAAAGACATGTACATACTATTGCATTTTTAGAACAGATTTCTTTCAGTTGTCAGGTCAATGTTAGGTTAGCTTATTTGTGCAACACATCACAGTTACCCTACAAAGAGTTCTTTGCATGCTGCAAGAAATTCTTATAGCAAAAGTGTCGTAAGTCATAAGCATGCTGGTTTTGGGGTTCCTTTGATATCCAAAGAACTGGAAAGGACCGTAAAATTCACTTAAATGTATTTTTTTCAGTGAGAAATTATTTGTAATTGCTAAGCATATCAAAGGTTCTTGGCCAATTATGTATTTATTCTTTTCATGATTGATATGACATATTACAAGTCTGAGGCTCGTTTCTTGTACGAGGTGTGGAGCTATCGTTAGCTAGAACTAATAACATGCTATTTGACTTCTATAAAATGTAGTCCTTCGTGCTGAATGCTAGAACAAAATAGTTTCTCAGCTAGAAAGGATGCATAGGAAAGCATGCAGTGCTTTTTTTCTTGCATAGTAAAAACCCACCAAAGCAAAGGTCAGGTCACTTTTTTGAAGACAGAGCCACTTTTTCTTCAAGGTTTCACCTACTGCCTGAAAAGAGTTATGATACTCATATTAGTGCCTGCTGTTAATCTTTCATAAACATAACTGCAAAACCCTGGGGATGGTTGATTCCATATATCATCTGTCTCATCAGCTTAAAGTGGCTATAACCCAATGTACGATGGTAACTTGATGAATACCTCTGTTTACTCTTTCATTAGTGGACTTTTTGTATTTGCTGGTCAAAGTGAGTGCCATATATATATATATATATATTTTATATGTGTGTGTGTGTGCATATACATACATACAAACATACAAAACTGCCATCCTAAAAGACTGCCTGTAACTCAGGCTGATATATTTCTGACTCCTCAGCACAGGATATGAAAAATGTTATGCTGAAACTACAATCCTGTAGCAAGCAGCTTACAGGATACTAAAGAGACGGTGCAGGAAGTGGCTTAAGTTCTCTGGTTTCGGTGGGGAGATGTGCAGGTGACCAACTCACTGGAAAATCCAGTTGTTTACTTTGATGCGTAGAAATAGATTTTGGCATCTAATGTAGGTTTTTAAGCTTGAAAGTTGTGGTAGCTGTGTTCACTGCAAAGAATATTACTGTATTCAGTCCTCACATGTGAGGCAATTAGCTAGAGGAATTGGAGAATAAGACTAGTTTGTCTATGGCAGGACAAACTTATTACTGTTTTGAACTGCCCTTGAAATGATCTGCAGGGTGTTTGTTGCAATACTGTAAATACTCTAAGACTTTATCAATAATCGTAGAAGAATTGCCCTTTTAAAAAAGAGTTGCCCATTTACATGGTTCCTTCAATATTAGGTGTTGTTTCCTAGTGTTTTGGCTTGCTATACATATTTATGTGTAACAGGAGCTTGCTGCTCAAACCCTGTAATTTTGTAACAGCAATTTTCACACTTGCCAGATCTCTAGAATGAACAGTTGTTCATAAGCCAGGTTTGCAAGGTAAATTATTTTCTCATATAAACAACAGTTTGATAATTTAGTAAATTAATTTCATTGTATTCTGTTTGTCTGCAACATGTAAATTGAAACAGTTGTGATGCAGAGCATGCCAACCTGTATGCAACCCAAGAAAAACATGAATTGCTGCAGGAAAAATATGTTTTCGTAGAATATGCTGTTCAAGTAGACCTGAGTAACGTGCCAGTATTTTGGTTACATTTGAAACTGAACAGTTCATTTTTAGATGTCTCAAAAGCAGAATAAGAGGTAGAGTTCAGAGTATTCACGTGATGATAAATATTTGTAATAGGATCAGGTAGAAGACTTATTAACGGTTTCTGTAGATTCATCCTTTGGCTTCAGGAGTTGGAAATGTCTATTACAATCCATAAGAGTTTGCAGAATTTTTTAAAAGGCCCTTTGGCAGGGTTTTGTAAGAAAATACACTATTTCTTGCAGCTGGCATTTCTGAATAGCTCCAGATTAAATTCAGTACAAGTCACAGTACTTGCACGTGATACTTGTTAACGAGGCTTTAATTAAGCTACTGTATTAATGTAAATTCTAGGATGGCATACAGTTTTTAAAATCCAGTGAAGCAGATAGCTTTTCAGTCATGTTCATGTTTTAAAAAGCCTTCTCCTAGTACTTACTATTCAAGCCCATGGGCATTTTGCCAATGGGTCACTTTGAAGTCATGATGGGTACATCAATTATATTAAAAAAAAAAAAAAATTTTTACAAATACCTGGGCATACTTTGAAAGCATTTATGTTCGTGAAATCCTATATAATTCTGGAACTGATTTATTCATTGTAATTATTTGCAAATTTATTATTGTATCTGAAAAATCAATGACCAGTGCCTTGTAAACTTTTAATATTCTGACATCAGTATTTAAACTGTAGTGATTAATTACAGAAAATGTTGTTTGTTGTCTTCAATGGAATCTAAGTGTTTGCCATAATTCATAATATAATTAGACGTTTCCTCGGACAAATATTTTAGGTACCTGAATCCAAAATTCACCTTTCAAGAATACTTATGCTACTTAATACTGTGAGAAAAGGAAAAGGAAGAAGTTGTTTGTGATCAGATTTGGATTTTCTAGTACGTATACACACAGAGGATGAAATTCTGCCTTGTTATAAATCTGTGCTATTCCCTTTATTTTCCAAAGGTCCTACCAAGGTGTTTCAGCTTTACTCGACACGCTATAATGCATTGTTACCCACTGTGGTATTGGGAGTGTTCTCAACATATGCTTACTGAAATTTAAGTTTTTGCGAAACAGAAGCTTTAACACAACTTCATTTGTAAAGAAATCTGATAGGAAAAAAATAACGTGCAGATAGTGCTAAAACATGTATTATCATCTTATTGGCTTCATGTAGCATCTCTCCTTTCTACTTAAAGAGAAACAGAATGATTGCCTTTATTTATGAATATAAATGCCAAAGAAGTGTTCAGTTGCCCTGTACTTGTCTCATAATATTATTAAATGAAAATAAAATTTAAAAAAATCACTGTAGGATAAATAGCCAAGTATCTTACTGTCTGGGAGAGTTTAAAAAGAAAAAAAAAAAATTGATTGGCATTCAAGGCAAGTTCTACTGAGTTTCTAGGCCTGAATTTTAAAGCTTTGATATTCTTGCTACAAACATCCTCAAAGAGTATTATCAGAGCTTTACTCTCACATGGAAAAGCATTTCACCTCAGGCCCACCTTGGGTGTGTCCAGAATCCAGTTATTCTCAGAACTTCGTGAAATGCTTGACTGATGGAATAAAGAGCAAATGTCCCGTAATATCTGTTGGTAATGCCAGTCTGGGAAGGATTGGTAAATAGTCACAATTCACGATGATCTTTTAAATTTTTGTTTTTATTAAAAAAAAAAAAAGAAGGATAGAAGAATATAAGGCAGGAAAAATGTAAGGCAGGAGTTGTCTCAAGTAACCAAATACTTCGAATTTGTATTGCTGGAGGAGCTATGCATAGAAAATGCATGGAAAATGAGTCATAGTCTTAATTCAGAGATTAGAATTGGATAGGTAAAATTCAGAGATAGCTTTGCATGAAATAACTATTTAGTCAGGATCTTCTAGAAATGGGACTTAAAACAGTGCTGAAGATCAGTTGATTTTCCAAGTAGTTTGGCTGGGGCTCTGCTTTCATATTATCTAACACTGTCATGACCAAATTAAGGATCGAACTCCAGAGTGCTCACAGATGACTGGAAAAAGTGAAGACCAGGAATCTGTGTGAGATACCCTTGCTGTGAACAATCAGAAATCCCGTCATACTCGTGCAAAGGCTTAAGACAGGTATTTCAGTAGTCGTTGGACTTGTGCTCTTTGCTCTGAAAGGAGCCTGAATATTTTGTACATGCTACTTTTCAGTCCAGAATTTCGTAATATAATGATCGCTCTTTTGAGTGTTAAACCATTTACTAAAATGCTTTAATGGGCTGGGGAAGGGTTTTATAAGGCAAATTTTACAGAAGGTGCATTAATTGTATCTTTAAGATACAGCAGCTGAAGTCCCTTTATGCTAAGAGAAAGAACAGACAGAGCTACTGTACGTGTTGAACTTAGGATGCTTGGCTGTTGTCCAGATCCTCAGGCAGCTGGTGTATTAGACTTAAAGTACCAATTAAGTAGCCTATTCAAAATGGATTTATGCAACGCAAATCTTTGTTCTGTGCAGTTTAAAACTAAAAATGAAGGGGCACACATGGCTTAATTGTTAAAATTATGCAGAGCTGACACTTTTACCTCTCAAAACGAGTACGCACAGCCAGACAGTGGTACTGCAAGAGTTTTGTGTCTACAAGATTATAGTGAGCTCTTGAAATCACATAGGATCTATTTGGGTTTATTATTTTGCATTTCTCCTTTCTTCAGGCTTTTCTGTTCACATTTTCTCCATATGCCTTTCTTTTAATCATCTGTGTGTTTCTACACTTTTCTAATGATGTTCTATTCTGCATGTTATACATCTTGAAAAATAATGAGTAACCATATGGTGAGGCTGTTCTATGAACCAACACAAGATAGATACTTAAAACAGAAAATTGTGTTTCATAGACCCTTTTGTTAGGTTTGTCTAAAGAGCTTAAAAAAGCTAGATATCTATCTAACATAAATGGACATAAAATTCTTTTAGGCAATGCTCAATTGCCTATGGTGTGGTGATACCTGAACTAGCTGTATATTCTGAACTGGATGCAGTATTGTCAAGGTAGACCAACTTTCAGGACCTGAAACAGAATTTCCCTATTGTACTTGCATCCTGTTGAACCTCCTACGTGTTCTGTTAGTGATGGTCTAACCTCCTTTGACTTCTTAATAGTTCATCCTTACGACAGTATGATCAAGTACAGATGGTGTTGGCTACAAATGAGGATACTGGGTATAGAAAGACTTGCCAGAGAAGTATTTTACTGGGAAAGCAGCTAAACTGCTAAATCTGCTGAGTTCTAGTACACTGCTCTCCTCTAATTTCTCTCTTCTTTCTTTCTCATAATGATTGAATAACTTTGATTTCAATATTAGTATGAAGACTTTTTCATTATGTGCAAAGAAAACTGGCAAAGAAGGAGATAACAGCTGATAGAAAGGAATCAGCGCAAGTGTTTACATCTACCTTACTTAGACCGTGTCTTATGTCCGTTTAAATGTCAATATTGTGGTTAAATTGCATTCCAGTTTGAGACTCATTTGCCTGGAAATGGCATCGTCAGGCTTTTTGTTTATGGTCCCTCAGTAACTGCGGTGTCATGTGTGCTTCTTGTAGAAGTTCTGTCATCTTGTTACCTATAGATTCCCTCTGAAAACCAAGGGGGACTGCTTCCGAGGCATCTCGAGTGGAAGTTCTGCAAGACCCATTCTGTTCTTCGAAACTTATGCAAAGTCATTGTTCGTAATACATCTCATCAGATATTATGACTGGTACTTAATAAGTGATTCTATTAAGTCTAACTAATTCTCTCTAAACTATGCTTATTCATGCAGGCTAGTAGGAGGAAGATGCAATTAAGCTTTTTTCTTTTG